GGAGTGTCTGGTAGATAACGAGGACTCACTTTTTGTCACCTGTGGTTCGTATCTTTTCCTCTTACAGCCCTTACAGACACTAGATCTTTCTCTGAGCCCTAGCAGTGCCTTACTGCATGGTCTCCTGTCCAGTACAAACCCAGGCTCCATGCTTCCCCGGGGGTCATGAACTTGCCTCCTGCCTTCTTTCCTCCCCTTACCACCTTTTGGCTGACACATTTCTTTTCCTCTGGTCTCCATCCAGCAGGCTCCAATGTATTTATGTATGCACGTATATATGCATGTAGGCTCCACAACGAATGCGGGGCTTGAACTCACGACCCTGAGATCAAGAGCCCTATGCCCTACCGACCAAGCCAGCCTGGTGCCCCAGGCTGAAACATTTTTCTTACCCTGCAGCCCTCGAACTTTTATACTCTTCCTTGCCTCATCGTCCCCCTCCACTCGGCCCCACAAGCAGTGACTAACACTTTTGGTGATCGAGACCTTGGCTTTACTTACATCCTGCAGCGTTCTAAGGCTAGTGGCTGGTAGGGAAGCCCCCCTCAGGAGTAGGTGGGGAATGTGGGACTCCACAACTCTGACAGGCAAGAGCAAAGGTCAGTGTCCTGAGCTGGATTAACATAGTTCACCTTTTCTAAAGAGCCAGAAACAGCAGACTGCCTGGTGACGTGAGTTCTGGACTAGGAACTCTGGAAAACACTGTGTCAGCGCGTAGGGATCTTTTAAAGTTTAATGGAATTTTGGGGCACCTGGGTGGCTCATCTGGTTAAGCGTCTGACTTCAACTCAGATCATGGCCTCGCAATAAGTGAGTTCGAGCCCCGCGTGGGGCTCTGTGCTGCGACAGCTTGGAGCCTGGAACCTGCTTCCGATTCTGTGTTTCTCTCTCTCTCTGCCCCTTCCCAGCTCATGCTCTGTCTCTCTCAAATAAATCAGTAAACATTAAAAAAAGATAAATTGGTAGACTGAGTAAAGCAGACGGCTCTCCCAATGTGGGTGGTCCCTATCCAATCAGTTGAAGGCCTGAAGAGAACAAAAGGCTTACCCTCCCTCGGGTAAAAGAGAATTCTCCTGCTTGATGGCCCTCGAGCCATGACATTGGCTCCGCAATTGCATGAGCCAATTCTGCGTGATAAATCTCTACTTCTATCTTTATGTCTGTTTCTCTGTCTATGTCTACACATCTCCTAGGTGGCTCTGTTTCCCTGGAAATCCCTGGCTAATGCGTTGGTCTCACGTTACGTACTCGAAAACCTGGGAACTTGGGGAACTGTTATTTCCAATCATCACACGTGTAACATAGCCATTGTAAAAAGTTCCAAACAGAAGTATAGGTAAGAACAAAAAGTCAGTCACCCTCTCACTCACCGCTCCTGAAAATTCTGTTTCTTTATCTAAAGGTTACTGTCACGAATACTGTCCCCCAGGCACATTTCTCTGCCTTTACACCCGCTCAGAGAACACAAATGCACACACTCAGTTCTGCCCACCTGAACTGAATTACATTATGCAGATTGTTTTGTGAATGTCTTAGAGCTCTTTTAATGTGAATATATATATACTTTGGTCTTACTCTGTTTCTTAATTTCTTTGAGAGAAAGAGAGAGCGAGTGCAAACAGGGGAGGGGGCAGAGGGAGAAAGAAAGAGAATCTTAAGCAGACGCCATGCTCAGTGCAAAGCCTGATGTGGGGCTTCATCCCGTGACCCTGGGCTCATGATCTGAGCCAAAATCAGGAGTCGTTGCTCAACTGACTGAGCCACCCAGGTGACCCCGTCTTACTCTTTTCAAAGCCTTAAAAAAATTTTTTTTAATGTTTATTTTTTGAGAGAGAGAGAGAGAGAGAGACAGACAGCATGGGCAAAGGAGGAGCAGAGAGAGAGGGAGACACAGAATCTGAAGCTCCAGGCTTCGAGCTGTCAGCACAGAGCCCGACGTGGGGCTCAAACTCGCGAACTGTGAGATCATGACCTGAGCCGGAGTCGGACGCTCAACCGACTGAGCCCCCCAGGTGCCCCTAAAGCCTTCTTAATATACTATAGTATAGAATGAATACACCATTTTTAAAAATTCCCTACTTAGTAACATTTTGGCTATTTTCAGTTTTTTCACTGAACAGTGTTGTAAGAAAGAAACGTACTTATCTTTGGACATTAGTGAAAATATTTTTGGTGCGTTGGAGTATTTCTGTTGTATGAATTCAAAGAGGGGGTATTGCTAGGTCAAAGGGCATAGGTATCTCACATGTGAATGGTTGTTAAAGCGACTTCTAGTGAATTATCAGAACCAAAGGGGGTCGTAGGGACACCAAACATATAATTAATCTTACAAGTGGGTGGTCTTGGTGACTTGTGACTTTTGCAGTTGGGCTCAGATACAAGAATGACCCTGACTCAGCGAAACACGATGCCAGTATGGTTCTAGAAAAAGAAGGATGAGAGGGAGGGCTTGATGAACCTGTACTTCCTGGATGGTCACTGAATTTCGATGTCCCAGACTCACAGAGACCTGGAGACTCTGCATGGGAAGTGGGGCTATGGGAGTCCTTGAGTTCAGGTGGACTTTGTAGGGGTTCGGTTCTTCATGCTAAAGTGGCCGAATTGCACAGAAGGGCCCTCCGTACGACGACCCTGCAGGGCAAGTTCTAAACCCCATGAAGGCAGGATGGCAATGGCTTCGCTCACTAGCACTATCTCAGGATGGATGGAAAATGCTTTCTTTAGGGAAATCATTCATTCCTTCAGCCCTCAGCACTCTGTAACTGACTATTAAGAACCAGACACTGGGCCAGGCTCTGGAAACACTAGCTAGGGAGAGCACAGACTTCATGATGAATCACTCAGTGTCAGGCAGGGCAGCGTGGAGACGAATAGCAGTTATCATGTGGTAGAGTATGGTTAAGACTGTAACCGAACTCAAGAGGCTCGCTGCTTGGGGTGCATGCACTGAGTACACCCCAAGGAAGTTTGAAAACAAAGAACTTTTCATTACTTGCTACAAGTAAGGAGACGGGGGGAGAGCTCTCAAAGGGCTGTCTCCCGTGGGGTTAGTACAGGAAGCCTTCATTCAGTGTGTCAGGAGACTTGGGCAGGGAGCTTACAAAAGCACTTCAGTTCAATCGCACACGCCTAGCGTGTTAACAGGCTGGTGCATACCACATATGTTCGAAGAGTGGCAGAAAACTCTGCCCAGAGGAGATCTTAGTATTATGACGAGCTAAGGGTAATTTCAGGACAACTTAGGGGGGCTTCTGCAGGGGTCCTCAGCTCCAACCCAGCTCACGCTGGCTTGCATCAGGGGCTGATCAGGCGAGGCACACCTAGCTGGGCATCTCTTTGGGCAGAACTGTTAGTTCTGCAAAACAAAACACATTCCTTCCCTGCTTTTGTCCCTTCCCCTCCTCCCTTCTGCTGATAGCTTTCAGCTCTCTGATTTGAGTAACTTCCCGTTGCATTCTAGCTGACGAGACCACAAGACCCAAGTGGTATGTCTGGTCCCAGTTCATTTCCAGGGGTTGGTGGGGCATCCACGCGACTGATGGAGACAGGATGGAGCTGGTGTTGGGGTCGGGATCGGTGAAGCCGGTTCGTAAATGTTGCTGGTTAGTTGCTTTGAACGGTTGGCTTTTGTCCCCCATCTTTTGTGGCAGGAAATTTACTCTTATTGCATCAGTCTTGAGCACCCCTTCTCAAGGTCAAGGGCATGGCTAGTTGGGCTCTGGCCTCATCTAAGGGTGGGGGCTGCCCCTTGGGAGGAGACATAGAACAGCACAGTTGACAGCCATGGCACCAGCTGGAATAAGTCACGCAGGGCTATGTTAAGAAAAATAAAATGCAACAAAAAATAATAAAAGGGGGGCGCCTGGGTGGCTCAGTCAGTTGAGCGTCTGACTCTTGATTTCAGCTCAGGGCATGATCCCAGGGTTGTGGAATCGAGACTCGTGTGGGGCTCTGCCCTGAACATGGAGCCTGCTTGGGATTCTCTCTCTCTCTCTCTCTCTCTCTCTCTCTCCCTCTCTCCCTCTCCCTCTCCCTCTCCCTCTCCCTCCCCCAGCCCCTCCCCTACTCGTACTCACGGGCTCCCTCTTTCTCTCTCTCTCAAATAAAATAAAAAAAAAAACATGGAACCTTACCTGTGTCCAGAGTTTTTTTCATGCATACTCTCAGCTACAGTTTTTGATTTGATCCTGAAAACTAGCCTGCGAGGAACCCGAGCCAAGGACCGACCCCACGGGCTTGGAAGGTAACTTGGCCAGGATCACACAGGCTGTTAAGTTGCTGACCTGACACTCAAGTATACTATGTCTTTGCCTCCAATTCTGCGCTCTGTCCGGAACGCTCTGCTTCCTTCCTCGGTAGCCAAGGCTCTAGTCTGCCTCCCTTCAGCCCAGCTTCAGCTGCGGTGATTGGAAATGGATCAAAGGATGAAAAAAGAACGGGACTGACCTAAAGGGAACTGAAAGTATTTGCTGCGAAGGGGAAATCAGAAGAAAGAAAAAGGCAGGGGGCCTCCGGGGGAAGGCCTCAAAGCGAATGCTTTCTGGGGAAGGTGGGACCACCGCCTGTGCCCCTCCATGGGGGCATAAGAAGGATCAAAGCTGCCTGGCCTTCCCGGAGGGTGGAAGTGTGGGCGGGGAGGCACAGCAAAGGCAGGTCTGTGTCCTGTCTGGGTGACAGAAGGCAAGAGAGGCAGAGAGGACGCTGCGGGAAAGTAGAAAAAGAGGAAAAGAGGGGATATAGAAGCACAGATAGGAAACAAGCAAAAGCAAGTCTAGGTAAAGACGTTGCAGTTGGCATGTACTTAGACCAGGGTATCAAGTTGCAGAGCTTACCCAGCTCTTCGACCTCTCTGGGGTCCCCTGCTCCTTTCCTGCCACATTTCACCCCCTTAGGCAAGGCTCCACTTCTCAGCCCACGCGCCCCCAGCCCTCCCACCTTCACAGTGCCTGTTGGAATGGGGGCAGTGTGGGATAATGGCTCTTGGGTCCCCATGCAGCCTCCTCCAGAACCGGAACATGTCCTGGGAGTCTGCTCTTTGAACAAGGAAGCCTTGCTGGGGCAGAGGGATGGACAGGATTTGGAAGCTGGTTTTGTGAGTCACTGTGAACTCTCAGCACCCGCCCACTTGAGGCCAACTTTGAAAGCTCAGCTTGTATGAACTGTCGGACCAGGTCCAGGTACTGGGACTTTCTCAGTGGCCTTGTTAGCTCTCAGCTGCTGAGAACAGCCCTGAGTTGAGGAAATTGTGGCCGGACAAACAGCAAGGCAGTTCTGCTCCCCTGTCAGTCACTCTGCTGCTGGCTGGCTGCAGCTGAGCCCGTGCCCAGCAGCGTGTCTGGCGGGAGAGGAGCCGGCTGACCCGTCTGTCCTCTGGGGATGTGGGGGCTGGCTCTCGTCCTCACACTTTTGTTCGTCAAGGGGCTTCAGGGCCAAGGTAAGGAGGCCCAGCCTGGCGTGGGTGGGGGAGAGGCTGGACTTGGGACTGGGGCCCGCAGGGGGAGTGGAACCCTGAGCCTCTGGTTCGTGCCCACTTACGTGGTCACCTGCAAGTGTGAGTCTGGGTGGCTCCTGACAGCTCCGGGCGGGCTGGTTAGGACGGAACGGGCTGGCCCTGGTGTGGGAGGCCCCTGAGAAGCCTGTCTGTCTGGCCATGCCTTCGGCAATCCGGGCAGCCCGGGGCAAGGAGATTCCTTTCCGCTGGCTTCCATTGACTTTTCTGTGTAGTGGGGAGAAAGCGTCCTCTTGCTGGCTGTAAGAAGGACAAAGGAAATATGCTCTAATTTGGTACGATTACCAACAGAGAGAAGTGACCCCTGGGCTTGAGTTTCTCTAAGGAAGTTGGGTGGTTCTGGAAAGCGGAGACTGATAGATTGCTCCCCGAGGCAGGGAAACAGCACGGAGGGGAAGGGAGTGACCAACAGCCACTTTGCATGAATGGCCTGGTCCCTTAGGCCTCGGCAGCTTCCAGCAGCCCAGAGGCTATAGGGACCTGAGCATTATTTATTTATTTATTTATTTATTTATTTATTTATTTATTAAAAATGTTTTTAATGTTTATTTATTTTTGAGAGAGAGAGAGAGAGAGAGAGAGAGAGAGAGTAGGGGAGGGGCAGAGAGAGAGGGAGACACAGAATCCGAAGCAGGCTCCAGGCTCTGAGCTGTCAGCACACAGCCCGATGTGGGGCTCGAACCTACGAACTGTGAGATCATGACCTGAGCCGCAGTCCTTCGCTTAACCGACTGAGCCCCTCAGGCGCTCCTAGGGACCTGAGAATTATTCAGGAAATGTTGGCTTGGGTCAGGCGGTCAGGAAGGGGGGGAAGAAGGAGATGGTATCCGGAAACTTCCAGAGCTGAGGGCTGCCCCCAACCCCCCCCCAATTCTCCGACGGTGGAGTCCAGGGTGCTCTGAGATGGGAGCCTGCATTCTAGATCAGTGGCTCTTCGAGGGGCATCATGGCTGAGAAAGTAAGAGGAGGGCCCCCTCTGGGTGCAAAGGGCAGAGCGTGGGGCATTGGACGGTGTTTGTGCAGGGCCTGTTAGAAGCCCCTTCAAGACCCATCTCAGGCACTCCTGCGTCCTTAAAGACACAGTCTAGGTTCCGGAGGACTGGGGGGTGGGGGCTGTAAATATAAATACAAATGACTTTGTATTTACAAATCTATAACAAATACAGGCAGAGCAGGGCAGAGGGTGCTGGGAACAGGTTGCAGAAGGGAGCTTTGGAGCCTGGGTTCCCGTGTGCGCCCTTGTGGGACCCAGTGACCCAGGACCCTCGGCAGGAGAGGGGGGTTGGAACCCCGTCTTAGGAGCCTTGGAAGCGGCTGGGACAGCCGAGACAGGACTGACGGGATTTGGTGCCTGGCTTTGGGGATGGGAGTGCCAGAAGTGGAGGCGGTCTGAGATGGTGAGCCTGTGTGTCCGGAGAAAGGGGCGGCCCCGTGCCCACACCTGGGGCCGTGGCACCGTCACACAGGAGCCGGGCTCTGGGGCCCCTGGGCTTTGGTCTCAAGGAACTTCTTTCTCTTCGTGCTGTGCCCTGCATCTGTGGGGCTGGCCTGGTGTAAGCTGATTGAAGCTGCTGTCCTGTTTATTTGCTGTCGTTTTTAAACCCTTAAAAAGTTTAAAATAAGCTCAGAGTTCCAGAGAAGTTGCAAGCATAGTACAAAGGATTCTGCTTTATTTCTTTCTCTCCATATATATATATATATATGTGTATAAATGTATAATAATAATAATAATTTAATATTATGTATATAAAATATATAATATATGTAATATATAATACATATTATATTATATATAATATATAATAATATATATAATATAATAATAATAATCTTTGCTGAGCCATTTGAGACTGAGTTGTAGACATTGTGCCCTGTTACTCCTAAATTTTGTAGCATGTATCTTCTAAGAACAAGGGCGTTCTTATATTATGTCAGCACAGTTATCAAACTTAGTAAATTTAACATAGATACCATTAAAGACACCATATTTACATATTACCAGTTGTCTCCAAAACGGGCTTAATGGCATTCCTTCTCCCCGGGTGCGGAATCCCATCAAGATCGTATATTACATTCAGTTACGTATTTTTTTGTTATGTCTTTTGTTTTTTTATTAAAAAAAATTTTTTTAAGTAGGCTTCCGCACCCACAACTTACAACACCGAGATCAAGAGTCAAATGCTCTACCGATTGAACCAGCCAGGTGTTCCTTCTTTTGGTCTGTCTTTTTTGGGGGGGGGGGTGCAGAGGGAGAGGGAGAGGGAGAGAGAGAATCCTAAGCAGGCTCCAAGCTGAGCGTGAGCCCTGATAAGGGGCTCGATCCCACCACCCCAGGATTATGACCTGAGCCGAAATCAACAGTTGGACACTTAACCAACTGAGCCACCCAGGTGCCCCTGTTATGTCTTTTAATCTACAACTGTTCCCTAGCCTTTTTTCTTCTTTCATGACTTTGACATTTTTGGAGTACCAGACATTGTTTTGGTGAAAGGCTCCTGAATCTGAGTTTGTCTGAGGCTCCTTTGTGTGATCCAGGCTATGCATTTTGGGCAGGAATACCACACCAGTGATGCTCTATTTCAGAGCATCCCATCAGGACATATGATGGCAGTGAAACCCTTTAAAAAACAACAAAACTTGGCTTACTGAAGAATTTGATATGCATAATATATATGTAAGAAGTTTCTATCGTTCTCGAGCTTTGCAAAACTTTTTCCAATGGCTTCTCCAGGCTCAGTCAAAGCCACACATGTCACGGTGGCCTATGAGATCTGGCCTCCCTGACCCCCGACCCCTTCCTCTCTCCCATAGCACTGCATTCAGCCTCCCCGACCTGCTACGATACATGCACGAAACGCGTGCCATGGCTTTGCACTCTGTTTTCTCTCCTGGGATGCCGCTTCCCTGCTGGCCGCCTGGCCTGCTCCCGCAGCCCCTCAGGACTCTGCTCAAATACCACTGTCTCAGTGATGGCCTCCCACTAAGAGTGCCAACCTGCCACCCTGCAACGCCTTACCTCCCTCTCCGCTTATTTTTCTCCACAGTTCTCATCTCCCTTGTGTGGGCTCTACTGTTCGCTTCTTTATTTTCCGTCTCCCAGGCACCTCTTTACCTCACTGGAACATAAGATCCTCGAGGCCAGGGCTTTCCTCTGTTTGGTTCATGGCTGTATCTTCAGCCTCTAGAACAGGATCTGGCACAATTAGAGTCTCAATGTATCCTTATTGGTTGAATAGATGGGGGACTACTTTAAAGAATCCGTAGAATAAAGTGAGAGTTTATTTGTCTACCGGAGAGTTTCACTGGGAAAAGCTGTTCTAGATTTTAGGCTACAGACTACGCCGTGGCGTTGAGGAAGTTAACTAACCTCTTGTTTCTCAGTGTTTCATCCACAAGGTGAAGTCAACAGTGGTGGCTGCTCTATTGCGATATGTGAGCATTAGGGAAGGTACGGTATATAATATGCTTAGAAAGGTGTTCTTATTGGGGTGCCTGGGTGGTGCAGTCGGTTAAGCGTCCGACTTCAGCCAGGTCACGATCTCGCGTTCTGTGAGTTCGAGCCCCGCGTCGGGCTCTGGGCTGATGGCTCAGAGCCTGGAGCCTGTTTCCGATTCTGTGTCTCCTTCTCTCTCTGCTCCTCCCCCGTTCATGCTCTGTCTCTCTGTCCCAAAAATAAATAAATGTTGAAAAAAAAAATTAAAAAAAAAAAAAAAAGAAAGGTGTTCTTATACCGAGCCCCCCAAAATGATCCCTCGTGTTACTCAGTTCTTTGGAGGCAGGGACTATGTTTCACTTAGTTTGGTGATCAGACTCAAGAAGAGAGACTAATTTGCTGGCTAATTCATTGAGTCAAAAGTGAATTAGAGAATTCTGCATGAGATGATAAGTTTTAATGAGGGACCCTTTTCTGAGGGTTTTTTCACCATCATAACCAGGATCTTTGGGAGAATGCAACATTTTTTTAAGTTTATTTATTTATTTTTGAGAGAGAGAGATAGAGGCGGCGGGGGGGGGGGGGAGGGTGCAGAGAGAGAGTCCTAAGCAGCTTCCACACTGTCAGAGCAGAGCCTGACGCAGGGCTCGACCCTACGAACCGTGAGATCATGACCTGACCCGAGATCAAGAGTCAGATGCTCAGCTGACAAAACCACCCAGGTGCCCCAGAGAAGGCAACATTTTTAACACACAAGAACATGCATTCAAGACATTCAGTGCTATTATTATGTTGTGTTGTATTATGTATTATATTCTGTTGTATTGTAAAACATTCTAATTGTTTCCACACTCTTGATTCCTGCTCCTTCCCTGATGTGCCTGAGCGCCTCTGGGCCAGGCCCTGGGCTTAGGTGTTGAGGATTCAGTGGTGAATCGTTACATGGGCGCCTTGTTCACGGAGCTGACATCTGTCACAGGACTCGGTCTATAATCACAGCCGTGAACTGAGCGAACCCCAAAGGACATGCTAGACTGTGAATGCCCAGGGGCCGTGGACAAAGCAAAAGGGCGGGGCAGCATTTCATGGATTCTAGACTCTAAGGCTTGCTTGCCGGCTGCTCTTACAGATTGTGTTGAATTTTCACTTCTTAGGAAGGAGCCTCTGATTCCGACCCCTCTGGCTGGGATCCAGGCAAGTCCTAAGACGGCTGCCCTTCCTTTTATTTATCTCTTCCTCATTGCACCTCCCGTGAAGCAAAGTGAACGGTGAAGTCATCGGGCAGAGGGGGTGGACTGGGACTCAGAGAGCTCGGGGCTGCAGCACCATCCCGGAGGGAACTGGTTCCATAGACATCACTCTAGGGATAGCTGGGCCATTGTCTTCGTAAACAGACATTTTTATTAAAGTGTGACGCATGTACAGAACAGCGTGCAAAATGGGAAACGTACATCTCAGTGTGTTACTGTGAAATGAACACGCTTGCGTATCT